CTGTTATTTTAGACTGAGATTTTTAGAGTTTAGTTCCTCCTTTTATACATGAAGAGGCGGATGATGACAGGAGGACTTTTGGTATCCATTATCTCTCAACTTTGAACTCCTTCCAAGTTCCATGCATCATCAAAACATTTGTTTAGCATAAAAGTTGACAACCTGATAGAATTCTCTTTTTGTTCTGTTGAAAACAAAGAGTTGGAAATATTGATATTTCAAACGGTTTCTGTAACTGAAGGCATTCACTATGTCAATTTCTGGGAAGTTGGCTACTAAAGGATTCTCTAGACTTACCAAATAGCTCTTAAAGCCTGTTACTCTTCATTTAGAGGCTCGAAATTTGATTTAGGATTAGCCCTCTGAAAGGGCTGGGAAAATAAAAATAGTAGACAAATTCCCCTGCTACATCTTGCCCAATAAAATTTTTGATCAGCTTTATTATGGTAAAATTTACATAGAATTGATATACCCATTTTGAAGGTGAGCTTGTGTGAATTTTGACGATAATATAAAGTTGTATATCCACCACCAAAGTCCCCATGCAAAGCGTTTTCATTAGCCAACTTGTTTCCTCATGCATATTGCCAATCCTTTCCCAGATGCCTGGACCCAAATGATTTTTTTTGTTGCTCTTGTTTTATTTTCAGGTAGCGTTGGTTAACTCTCGAGGAGTAAGATGGCTGGGTTATCTGTGTTTTGTGCTCAATTTTACCACAGTAGCTGCACCACCTGAATCTACAAGAGTAGCAGTTGACAATCTTGTCATCTTTGCCATCCTCAGTATTTTTTTCACAATAGTGATTTGATTGGGTGTGCAGTGGCACTTTATTGTGACTTTAATTTGTGTGTATCTGACTAGTTTATGATGCTGAATATCTTTTTATGTACTTATTTACCATCATTGTGTGCTTAGTTGCTCTAGTTGACATTCTTTGTTAAAATGAGCAAATTTTTTACTCAGTTTTATACTGTGTTGCCTGACTTCTTATTAGTGAATTTCAAGGTCTATTTTTGTATTTAGTAATAAATTATTAAAATTTATTATTTTTAATAAATTATATTTATTGTATTTTTAATAAATTATATTGTGTTTTTATATTATCTTTTAAAAATATTTTTAAATCATTTAATTTATTTAAAAAATGCCCTTTGTGGGCTGGGGTTGTGGCTCAGTAATAGAGTTCTTGTCTAGCCTGTGTGAGGCACTGGGTTTGATTCTTAGCACTGCATATAAATAAGTAAATAAAGTAAAGGTCTATGAAAAACTAATAAAAATATTTTTTTAAAATGTCCTTTGTATTTCTAGTTTTCAGAGCAAGGGCCCTTGTCAAACCAGTTAGCCAAACTGGGCTTTCTTTCTGTCAGAAAAATTATCTGACTGCATTTTTCAATTCTAACAAATATGAGTTCCATTTCTAAGACAGAAATGGCTTAGTTATTTGCCACAGCTATGTGTCTCCTGAAGGAAAAAACAAAACGTGTGTCCTCTTTCAGTGCTTCTAATCAATGCACTTTTGTGGCCTTCATAGGGTCCCAGGGGTCCATCACTCCCAAGGGTGATGTTCTGGGTTAAGGAAGGTGCTGGCAGGTTAATGAAGAATGTCTTCACTCTCACCCCACTTTGCAGTATTTCTATAATCAAAATTTTCAAACACAGGCCAAACAACTCCATTTCTAATTCCTTAAGAAAATATGCATACGACTGGGAAAGATGAGCTTTTCTCAGATATCAGTATTTTGAATTGTTTGATGTTAAAATTTTCCACCCTGGGCCAATGTACCACAGGAAGATTAATATGCTGAGAATAAGGCCCTGCTTTTTACAAGGGAGAACCCTGGCCATGAGAGAGCAGGAGAAAAAGGAGGTCCTGGGACAGCTCAAGCATCGGGCAGTTTTTAGAACAAACACATATACAAGTTGAAGAAATGGAAACTGGTTCCCTATTTGTGCCTGTCTACCCCTTGGATAATTTCAAGACCTCTTACAGTTGGATACCCATACTACAGTTTGAAGACTTGTATTCTGCATGTAGGTAGTTTTTGAAGGGCTGAAGGAATGAGAAACAATGGGATATCAAATATTCCACTATTCCTGCTGGAATAGTGAGCTCCTTGATGTCTCCTAGATGGAGAGCAGGATCAGGTCTTTGAAAGGTCAAATGAGGATGGCACCCTGGATTTCTTCTGTTGTCCTTGGTGAGAGATACTAATGCATGAGCTATCTAGTTGAAATCTCTCTTTCTCTATTTGTGTACATATACTTATGTATTTGTCTCACCATTTCATAAAGGAAGGTGGCTTTATTTATGAGCACATGAAGTGCTTTTATTATTATCATTATTTTAAATTAACTATCATTGTCGCACCATTTTAAAGAGTCTTTGATTAATGTTCCCCCTATATGATTTTCTTGGGGAAAACCTCAATTGGTATCAGTGGGAAACCTAATTATTAGAGTATTTAATTAAGAGTTTCTTTCAGGCACTTTTCAAAGAACAATTTAAGATCTCAGAAACTCTACCTTATTTATAACTCTAGAATGGAACAGTGAGGACATCTTGACAGTATTCATAAAGACTCAACGAGACCAGACATTACAAAAATTATTTTCATTTATTCAAGCCTTTAAAATAAAATATTCATTTAATATGATATCCACAGAGGCAATAAAATACATAATTTAATCGGCTTTTCAAACTCATTTAAAAATAGAGAGCTGTCATTTTAGAAAGCTTAGCTATTTTTCTTCCCTCTAGCACATTAGGGGAAAATAAAACACAGCTCACAAGGAACCATAGCATGTAAGAAAGCCAAGTTCTGTCTTGCTCACGTATCTTAATCAACAGGGAGGAAAAACCTGCTGCTGCAGCTGCTGGCATCCGGGCCCTTGACTTTGGGTGTGCTGAAAGTTTGATATGAATTCGCAGTGTGTCTTTAGTGCACCTGTCTCCTTTCTGTTTGATGATCAGTGTGGGAGGTACTTAACAGCTAGACTGAAAGTCTTCCGTTTGCCTCCTTGAAGGCACATTCTTTGACATTCTCTAAAAAGAAAATCTGTACTTGCTCTCTTGTATTCCTTAAAAAAAAATCCCCAAGTTCATTCTGGTATATTTGTCTAATCATGGGAAAAAATGGAGACCTCATTTAATTGTAAATGTGAGTCTTGTATAAAAAGCTAGACATGCTCCAGTTTTGAAAGACAGAGGCCCTCATCCCTCTACTAGAATAGCTGAGTTCCTGTAATCCTTTGTTGGACCAGCAGGATCTGAATTCAGGTCATCCAAATGCAAAGAGTCCTTTAGAACCAAATCATTTGAAAGGAATTGATGAGGCAGCAAACATACCCACGTGGAGTATGGAACTAAACGTAAGACTGAGTTCAGACGATGCAGAATATGCATCACACCGCAGAAAGAAGAAAAGGAGATTGAATTAGGTCTCATACTAGAGAACTCAGAGCTTGACCAGTTGTTACCACTCAACAGCCACAAAACCCTGCTGCCATTTCTCAAGTCCTGTTGCTTCCTCTAATTGCACCTGTCAAGGAGCTCACCTGGCTATGTCCTTTCTACTTTTGGGCTCAGGGACATGTCCTCTTCTCAACACTGTTTAATACTCATTACTTGATCCTTCCCTGAAGGCATTCTTCTTTTAGCTACTTCCTGCTACACATCAGTTGGACTCTAGTTAAACATTTTAACTGGGTTTCTGTTATTTGTGCTTTTCCATGTATCTCCCATTCTCTCTCATTGTATTAATTCACCCACTAGAGTCCTGGTATTTCTCCCAGTGCTTAGACTGCACCTCCTGCTGCCTCCTGGTCATGATGCAGGTGTCATCTGGGTGCTTCCTATGAACTGAGTAGCTGTCATATGAGACAATCTGCAAATATACTACAGGGAAACCTCGAGGAAGTCCTTCTCTAGGGCTTGAAGAACTATTTGCTAAATTCAGTCCATTTGAAAGAATTTATTGTTTCCTTGAAGTATTTAGTGGTCATCAGCTGACCCCTGTGGGTGACCCAGAGGGTGTACAACACTCTGGATGAGTTAAGAACCTGATTCCAATTTAGTTATTGAATTCTATTTAGTGACAGTTTTCTCTCATTTCTGCTTTTATGTCACTGGAAAAATCTATTTTAAAAAAACCAGGAAGTCAGATATTTGCCTATATTATACTAAGAAAATATATAAATAAATAGGCTGCAAAGTTAAAAGTAAGATGATTAAAATGCTGGCAGAACACATTCATAAAAATCTTTATACAATCATAAATAGCAAATAAAACATTGATCACTTTACAACAATAACTCATTATATCTATTTTAATATACAAAAGTGCTCATCTAGGTTAGGAGATTCTGCCTTAAAATTCAGTTCAGGTGTTAGGAGGTTCTCAGTGTTACTGATGTCAGATTAGGTCTGCAGATATTTTGGTGAATAGTTCAAGGACAATATATTTAAAGTCTCTCTCTCTCTCTCTCTCTCTCTCTCTCTCACTCCCTCTTTGTGCAGTACACATGCAGACTTTTTCCCTGTCATTGTTCCCTATGCAATACATTATAACAACTATTTACATAACATTTACATTGTATAAAGTGTTATAAGTGATCTAGAGATGAGTTAAAGCATATGGGAGGTTATGTGCAAATATTATATCATTTATATAAAGGAGTTGAGCAACTGTAGATTTTGGTACTGAGGGTGTTTTGGAGCCAATTCTCCAAAACACCTGAGGGACAACTCTCTCTCTCTCTCTCTCTCTCTCTCTCTCTCTCTCTCTCTGTGTGTGTGTAAGTGGAACTATGTGCATATGAAACAATATTTGTCACAGTGAAGAACTTGACTACCAATCACTGTGTACCAAAACCATTATATAGGTTCTACTGAAACTTGAATGCTCACTTTAACTTTTTCCTGACAACTATCCCATCAAAACAAATAAATATAGTTGTAGTTTAAGGATGTTCTTTAGTATTTTTCGTAGCTGTTCACTTAGTCTCTACTTTTCATCTGGTTGAAATCCTCCATTTATGGCATGAGAGGATGACTCAGGCTCCGTTTTGGTATCATTTTGCTCTGAAAATGCTGCGTTGTTTTTCCCATAGTATTTCTTGTATGCAACATAAACTGGAAAACAATACACAAGAGGTTAAGTAAATTTCATGGTGATTAGCTACAAACTTACTTGGGACAGTGATTATCATGTATGACTCATAAAACAGTTTATGTTTTCTGCAGAATGGAGGCTGCTGAGAGCACACAGCCACTATCCCACTTCCCCAACCACCTATGACAAGAGGGACGGCCACTCTGGAGGAAGACCTATCATGAAACTTCAGGGATATCTGCTCGGGGCAACTACATGCCTTCTTCAGGATTCCAGTCCTGGGTGTGGTCCTCCACAATAATAAGAGCAAGAAGGATTCATTCATATCTATCAAATCCTAGTCCTCAATAAATACCCTGCAGGCTCTGGCATAGTGCCAGGACCCTGGTCTCATGATGCTCTAAAAAAGATTTGATCTAGAGTAATACTCCTGGTCTCTCTGTCACTTGCTCTGTCGTGGAGAAAAGCCACAGCAGAGTGGTGACCAACTTTGCTCTCTTTGGTGATACTGCTGGTCTCTGGTAGCGACCATTTCTCAGCTTGTCTTTGAGGTCAGCTTTGTCCTGCCAGGGGAGACCGGCAGGTCATGTGTGTGCATGTGTGCATTCATCTGCACATGCATGAAGCTGTGGAGAGGGGGCCATACTCACAAGCCCATTTGTCTGTAGGGTCAAGCCATATTTTCCAGGTAAGCTTTATTTGTAGTAGAAGTGCTATTTTGTTATCTAAATATCTGATCTTTTCCCTCTACCTCTCAACTGGTTCCAAAGTCAACAAGGGAACAGAAGGTATTATTTCTTGGACTCTTCAAATTCTAATACCTCACATAGAAAATGACTATAATAACATTATCTACTGCATCGGGCAATGTGAACATTCAACAAGATAAAATCAAGCACTTGGCCTTACCCATAGAGAATAGTAGTGATCAGCAAACAGGGATAGTCATTATGAGATGCAGCTGAGATGCACAATGTCTGGTCTCAAAGATCCTAGTAAATCCAGACTAACATTGCCTTTGGATTTGTCCATGAACTTCTAGTAAATTATTAGTTTTTTTTGTTTTGTTTTTTGTTTTTTGTTTGTGGTTCTGGGGATTGAACCCAGGGCTTTGTGCATGTGAGGCCAGCACTCTACTAACTGAGCTATATCCCCAGCCCCAACTTATGGTTTTGAAGCCAGTGCACCCTCCTATTGCATTTAATGTAGCTTGTGCCCAGTTTGAAGATCCAACACTTATTATAAGCTACTTTGAGCTGGGACTTCCTCCATTTATGTCAATGGTTTTATTTAACCAAACTGCATCTTATTTCTTTCTTTCCTTCCATCCTTCTTTCCTTCCTTCCTTCCTTCCTCTTCTTGTTTCAGTAAATATTTATACTGTAATATATCAAATATGTTTTTGTCATTGTACAGACTTCAGAAAGATGTCTTCCTTATTACGATGCTTAAGGGTAAAACCAGGAAGGTACCAGACCAATGCCAGAGCTCTCTTCCCTCGCTCTTTCAGTCCATATGACTTAATCTCTCTTGGACTCTTCATTCAACTAGTGCCTTTGGTTTTATTATGGACCAGCCCACGTTCCCTGCCTCGTCTAGTGGACATCACTAATTATTTGGCAAATCTCACAGTGTGCCAAACTGGGTAGACCTTCATGCAAGGAAACAAGATTATTCTACAAGAAAACAAGTCATTAGAGCATGGACCTGCATCCCCTGAATCAGAGTTAAATCAGGGCAAGGTTTTCAGTGATCTCGAAAGTCCTATTCTAGAAGGAAGCCCCTGCTGGCAGGATGACAGCAAGACCGGAGTGCAGAGGAGGCTGGAACTAGGTTGTAGCTACACAGGAAAACCAAACGAATGTCTCCAGACATTTCCTAGCTTCATATTCACATTATTTTTGTCATGCACCTAGTATTTCCCATTAAATATCATGAAGCTTTAAAAGGTAGCTGAGATTATATATATATATGAAAAGAACTTAAAAATAGAGGTTAAATATCATTAGTCCTTGGAAAGTAAAATCTAGGGAAAAGTTTCAACTGGGTGATGGCCAGTGGTTGAGGATGGAAATGTATTTTATAGGGGAGTAAAATTAAGAGTCAGGCTGACTACTAACTACCCAGATACTTAAAGAACACTTTTGCTTAACCTTCTTCAATTACATGGGCATTTAGATTACACACAAGCCTGCCTTTTAACAGCCTGATTAATGCCCTTTGTAATATTTTCTGATGCATATCCTATATTTACAAAGCATATTAAGACAAAGACTGAAGGAAAATCACCAAGTCCTGGGTCCCTTGGAAGCATTTAGAAAGGCACACAGTAAAACAGTCCTAACAGGTTAACACTCTCCCTAATCACCAAAGAAAAGAAACTCATGGAGAGAATTGGTTTCCATTACTTTTGACTTAAAATTCTTCCTTAAATCCTTTGGGTAAAATTGCAGCCTTTGGGAAGTCTTGATGATATTATCAGTGGGCTGTCCCTCTCATTTACTTGTACAATTCATTGCCAGGAACAGGGAATTTTTAAAAATGGACATTTTAGCAACTCTAGGGTTTCTCAAGGAGGAATGTCAGAAAGAAATTTGATTGGTGCTGTTGCTTACATGCTAATAATATTGCCGCAAAAAGGAGCTGGAAAACGCTGTAGATGAGCGGGAACGTGAACACGAGATTGAGCTCCTCAGGGGTGAAGGAGAGCTGTACGATGGTGGAGCACAGCTGAGTGTTCTGCATCCCTGTTTCCAAAGCAACCGTGCGGCACCTGGGGGAGGGGAGATGTGGGGAGAACATGCGCTTTAGTTCTTGCTCTGTTCTGTTGTTGTATGACCTTAAAAGCAGACATAGCAACGAGTACATAGACTGTGTATGTGTTTTGTCTCTACTTTGAGTGCACATAGTTCATGTATAAATTTTCATATAGAACTATACATGAGTAAATACACCAGTATCATATGTCATAAAATACAGCGATCTATTGTCTGTGATATAAATAAACATACACGTATGTCATATAGCATGTGTGAAGAACAGGCTCATTTAGAATAGTGTTCCATAAATGGCAATTATGTCCCTGGTAAAGGCACAGAGCACAGAGGAGGGTTCAGAAAATATTCAAGATACAATATTGGCTATAGTTGTTTATTGCTAAATTTGTGTGGGAGTGGGGGACCCAGGAGTATTACAAGGCCAAATGCATGATTTTTGTTAAAGTCATTCTTCTTGGAGGATAAGAATGCATAATCATGAAGAACCTGACCTGCACTTAGGGAATGGTCCAGAAGAATTTGAGCAAAAATAAATGAAATAAAAAACCTTGTATTATCTGTTTTGGTTGAAAGATACGAGGAAAGCCAACCTAATACAGAACTGTAGGATGATTTTGGTAGCCTCTTTAGTCAATTGTGGATAGTTTTTGCTATTATACCAAAACATGGCATGTGGCAGGGTAAGCTCCAGTGTAGAACTGGAAAACATCAATAAACTTGTTGTGTTGGAACTTTAAAAAAAAAAAAAAAGCAAAGGCAGTTCTTTTTGGGGACTTGAATAATTTAGGTATGAATGAGTCTATTGAGAGCAACATAGAAATGGGTGAACGTGATTAAGTGTGAAGGAATTGGAACTTAATTGTATTTACTGCTGTTATGGGTTGACTATGTTCCCCCATCAAATTCATATGTTGAAGCACTAACCCTAGCATATCAGAATGTGACCTTATGTGCAAATAAGGTCAGTGCAGATCTAATTAGTTATGATGAGGTCATTAGGGTCGCCCTAATCAGCTGTGCACAGAGGGAAGATGATGGGATCGGAGAAGATGGGTGTGTACCAGCCAAGGACAGAAGTCTCTCCTTTCCTTGTAGCCCTCAGAAAACAAATGAACCCATAAGGCCATCATTCTCACTTCCAGTCTCCAAAAACACTGGACAATGAATTTCTGTTGCTTAAACTGCTCAGTGTATGATACTTGGTGCTGGCGGTCCTTAGCAAATGATAGCCACAGCAATTACAGATGAAAATTTCCAACCCCAAACTCCCAAACACCAAAACACCACACCTGTACCAGGGCTGACCAGCTATTCTAGCCATAAAAAATCCCAGGCTGTAGCCAGCTATAGGAAATATGGTCCCTATGATCCACAGCTTAGGTTCGATGATCCAGGCACTCTGGTACAGTATCCCTCCAACCACAGCTAGGACCACGATGAGGATGGCACCCGCGATGGACCCGATCTGGAAGAGAGGCACAGGGAACCCAGCAGTCATGTCAGAGTGTGCGCAGATGTGGTGTCAGGACGTTGGTCAAGAAGACGCCTTCCCTTGGGGCAAGTGGTAATGGAACTAGAAGGCCCGTAGGCCCAGACTAGGGTGTGTACCATGTTCTAATCTTTAAGAAAAGAGCAGGACATACAGTATGCATGCTCAAATAGCCTGAAGAAGGTTTTCTGGCCTGCAAATTATCTGCCTGAGTAGAAGAGAATCCACTACAGTAAGAGCCTGGAGAACCTGGCTTGGAGATTCAGTTCCTCCCAGTTTGTCTCCTTGGGTGAATCATCAACCTTTCTGAATCTTTATTTCTTCGTCTGTAATTGGGGATAAAAACTTGCTCCAGCCACCTTTTATGATGGTTATGGTAATAAAAAATGGATATAAAACTCTATAATTTAAAAAATGCATTAATAAACATAAGCCACGATTGCTATTGTTTTCTCTTTTTGACATTTAAACATATTTGGAAATTTAAACTTTTTTTTTTCTGTAGAGATGCAAGGAATTCCAACTAGCTTACTTTGTCCTCTGAGCAGCAGAATCTATCTATAGCCTCTACAGCTGTATTCATATAATCTAAGTATAATATAGCTGGTGAAGGGGAATGAATGATCAATACATGTAGTGATTTTATATATATATACATACATATATATATATATATATATATATATTTATATATACACGTATACATATGAACACCTACAAATTGACAGGGACTGAGATGGTCATACGGTTACAGACATAAGAAAGGTATGTTCTATTTTCTATGATAGCTGTTGAGGTATGTTTATAACAAAACTCCCATGACAGAGACAACAGCAATGCACTGTGGTGTAAAGTAGTGTCAAACCAAGAGGTGATATTTGAACTGGTGTCTCAAAGAATGGATAGAAATTCACCCTGTGGATGGGAACAAGAAGGACGTTCTGGGAGAGGAGACTGTATGACTAGTAACTTCAGGCCCCAGAGGAGAATAAAACGATTCAGCAGATGGACCCACCCCACCATTCTAGGTCTCCTGAGGAGCACCTACCTGTGCAGGCTGTAGCATAGGTACTTACTTTAAGTATGACCTTCGCTATTGCAGGCCATTTGTGATTAACAAACATTCCAAAGGAAACAGGAATCACAAGAGCCACCAAAGAAATCCCTGCAGATGGCAGAAGAGCAGTTGGATCAACAGAACACATAGCACAGAAAGTAATCAGCCTGAAAAAGATGCCGGTCGTGTTTCTTGGACTTACAAAATGGAATGCAGAATCAACGTGCACGTGCGCGTGCACACACACAAACTTTCACCCACTCCGGTAGCTAATTTAATATCACTGGTTGACAATTAATAATATTATAATATTGGTTATATAAACCCCGGGTTGATTTTTCAGAGTTCCTTATATAGCCAATATCCTTTTGTTTAAATTTGTCAGAATTGAGTCTTTAGTCTATTCAAAACTTTATATTCCAGGAAAACTATCTGGCCAAAGGTTTTTTATTTATTTATTTATTTATTTATTTATTTATTTTTTTTTGTGTGTGTGTGTATGTAAATATGTTCTTGTGCTGTACATAGATGGCATTAACTTCTCTGTGTTACTTCATGGTTGTAGAAATAAGAGAAATACTTTAAAATAAGAGACATAGAAGAAAATATTCAAAATTTGCTCAAGATCTTCAGGCATTCTAGTGGCTAATGACTTCTGGAAAACCGACTTCAGTTTTCGCATCCACACCACAGTGAGAAAACATATTGGAAGAACATGCTTTAAATTTTCCACGAGATAATGTATTTGGCGAACTCTCTGTAATTATAGTTCTTTGCAGCAACATGCTAACCCAGCCAGGTGAAAGAATTACACTTGAATCTCTCCATGTTAAATTTACTGCTTATCTTGTGACTTTTGGTTTGTTTCTCCATATTATTTAACATTCATTTGTCGAAAAGCTGCCTTTATACAACATAGTACCAACAGCTGCTAATTCCTCATGGGCTGTTTCCTTTTCAAGCAATATGAGAAAGTGGAATCAAATAATGAAATTTTAAGAGTAGATGTTGTCTAGTGTTGGGATAAATTGACCTAGGACTGGAAAACAGGTCCTAGATTCCAGCACTATAATATTAACTTAAAATGAATATAATAATGATGAAAATGCAATTTCTTCTCAGCCTTGTAGCACTCCTGAATATATAAGGGTCAACAATTACATCTGCCCAGAAAATACTCAGCAAAATTAAATGATTCGTGAAACCAAGAGCTGGGAAGAAGAATGGGTAGGAGGAAGTAAGGAGAAAGGTGGAACTAGGGATATGGGCACGAGTACTGAGGTGAGGCCCCCAGGAGAATCCCCTTTGGGTGTCCCCACATCCTATGCTTTAGGGGGAGGAAGGGGAGGAGATTTCCTGTCTCTCTAGACCACTTCCTAAATTTTGTGAAGTTTATAGGCCTTAAATTAAAATTATCTTGGTACAGCTTGTTCGTTGGAAAGTATTTCAGGTTAGGTTTTGGTGTTACGGTTTTAACAGGCGGGATCTACTTGGCCTCTCTTTCTTAGAGTCCTGATCTCTGTGGGGCAGCCCAAGGCCAGAGAAACAGGCCAGCAGGACGACTGGCCAGGATTCGTGACAGAATGCTCTGGCTCTCCTGACCAGATGTGGCAGGCTAAGTTTTCCAGGGATTTGAAGTTGCCCCTTCTTCATACCCACAGGTGTGGCTCTGCTGAAGAGAAGGGAAGTTGCAGGTCTTTACTGCCCCAGTGGGCCCTGGGCTGGTGCTCTTCTCTCCCAGGACCAGTTCCTCCGACCCCAGTTGTTCTCTATGTCTATGTAGGTGAAGGAGCATCTGCCTGCAGCTGTACCATTGAAACCACCCGTGGGCTCTCCAGTGGCATTTACTCAGTAGGTTTAGGAGGCAAGAAAAGAAAGTGAGAATAAAACAGAGGTGAACAGATTCATGGGGAGGCATTGGGAGCCAGATGGACTTGGCACTGAACCTTTCACTATTCACAAACAGGAAACTACCTAAGTCACCTGGGCCCTCTGTGCGTGGGTTTCCCCTGCGTGGAGTGGGTAGTGTCTGCTCGCAGTGCTGGGAGAATTAGCTGATGACATGGAGATGGTTCTGAGACTCAGAGACCTGGGGACTACAGCTTGTCTGGGGTTTTCTTAATGTCCAGCTGTGCAGAGGCTCCTCCCTTCCAGATGCCATCACCCCAGGGGGTCCAGCAGGTTTTCCTGAATCTGGAGTCTGCAGGAGCACCTTTGTCCCAGACAAAATGCCCACTCACAGGGCAGGGTAGGGGGCAGGCCACGGGGCTCTTTCCAGCTCTCAGCAATCTTGGGCAAATTAAACAATTGCCCTGAGACTCAACAGCCTCATTTATAAAGTGATGATAACATCTCTTGAGAGACTATCAGCTCATTTTTTTTTCTTCATTAAAAAACTAGAAAAACCAACAGCAAAAAGAGTAGGTTGGAGAATAGGCCTGAGCAAACCCTGTGAATAAACAGAGCTGATATCTTTGTATTTCAAACTCTTCTTTGTTCTTCTTTTCTCTTTTTCTTCTTTAACTTCTTTCATGATGACCTTTTCCACCACTGAGGTGCTGGTGTATTTCTTATTTTCTCCTCCTTTCAAAGTCTATTCCCATTAAAGGGGAGTATAAACCATTTACATGGTAGTTAGAATTACTCAATATTCCCATAGGTATTTTCCAGAAAAAAAAAACTGAATATCAAGAGGAGAATATTTACAGTTTAAATTCTTTCCTTAAGCAAGGAATAACATGTAATCAAAATTCCTCAGTCAGCAAGCAGGTTCTTTGAGATGCAGATAATGCTTGCCTTTCAAACTGCTTTCTTTAACTCTAGGAATAGTCTGTCCACTGAGGAGCAGTCCTGGGTTAAGCAGCAAGAGCCGAGGGGGCTGGACAGGAGGACACTCTAAAGCCTGGTTTGGGGAGATTATGTCTGATATGATGGAGTTTCTCATGGGTCAGCAGGAGGACCCTGTACAGAGAAAACCCATACTGAATAGGCTGTGTCAAAGAGGACTGCTTTTCTAAATCCAATACTTATGGTCAAAGTTGGGGAGAGAAAAGAGACTGCAGGAAAATATTACAGTATAGATCCTCCCAGTTGGTGCTCACAAGTTTGTTCCAACTCTGTTGTATACACCTTGAATCACACTCGATCACAGAAACAGCATGTCTTAGCTGGAAGGGAGTTTTAGTTCAGTTCCCATCCCAACAGGAGTCTCTCTTACAGTCACCCCAGTGAGTCACTGTTTCCTGCTCCCCTTTATGGGAGACCCACGGCTTTGGAGGCAGCTCATCAGAAAGACCAGTGTTTCCCAGGGTGGCTGAAGAGAAGGCTTTTGAGCGTGCAGTGTGCCTGGAGGCTGGTACTTGCTCTTTTCCGTCACATCTCTACTACATAGTTTTAGGGAAGGCCTGCTTTCAACAAGCCAGAAGCTCTCTTGTCCTTCCCTCGACCTTGTCCCTGTGTTATGCCAACCCCTTCACCTCCCACCATCCTCTGTTCTCCCCCAAATAGAGGAGAATCTCCTTCGAGAGAGAGGAACATCTAAAAGTTGAAAGGAGATGGTCATAACTAGAATGTTTGACTTCCAGGCAGGAAACGCAGGTTGTGCCCTTACATTCACTGTGTATCGCGATGTGGTGCACAGCTGAGAGCTGCTCACGGTAGGCTTCCTCTCAGAGTGTCCCACTCCTGAGTACTCGCTAGGTGCTCCATTTTTAAGTCATCATGCTGGTGGGACTGCAAACTGGTGCAACCACGACGGAAAGCCGTTTGGAGATTCCTCAAAAAATTTGGAATGGAACCACCATTTGACTCAGCTATCCCACTCCCTGTTTTGTATCCAAAGGACTTAAAATCAGCATATGAAAGTGATGTAGCCACATCAATGCTGGTAGCAGCTCAACACCCAATAGCTAAACTATGGAAGCAACCTAGGTGCCCTTCAACAGATGAATGGATAAAGAAAATGTGAAGTATATTTACATATATAATGGAATATTAGTCAGCTTTAAAGAAAAATGAAATTATGGCATTATGGCCGGTAAATGGATGGAGCTGGAGAATATCATGCTAAGGGAAATAAGCCAATCTCATAAATCCAAAGGCATCCCTGGTATGTGGATGCTAGTTCACAATAAGGGGGTGGGGAGGATAGGGAAGACTAGAGTTACTTTAGATTAGGTAGAGGGCAGTGAAGGGAGGGGAAGCGGTATGGGGGTAGGAGGGATAGTGGAATGAAACAGATGTTATTACCTTATGTACATACATGACTGATGTGATTCTACAACATGTACAATCAGAAAAATAAGAAAAATATTCTCCATTTATGTGTGATATTTCAAAGTGCATAAATATATTCTACTATCACGTATAACTAATTAGAACAAATAAGCATTTTTTTTAAATAAAAAAAAAAAGAAATCATCATGTGGATGTTTTTTTGATCTGGTGTGATCTCCCACGACTATGAACTACTCACTCTCCAGCTTAAGGAAAAGACGGAGGCTTCCACGGGCCAGCAGCTGAAGCCTCCAGTAGACTGCTGGATGGGGTAAGGGGGCCCCCTATTCTGGCTTCTTCTTTGGTTATTTGAATTGACAAAAACTCAGATTCTCACATTGGCTCCAGCCTTGGAATTTGCACCCTGCCAATTCTCACCCAAATGTTGGGGTGACTTTATAAGGAAAGTTTAACTGGGCCCAAACTACTATTACTCCAAGAGGAAAATACTGGATGAGCTGGAGCCTGTCTGAGATCCTAGTCAGGAATAAACTGGCGTTTTGAGGTTGATATCGGACCTAATCTTGCAGAGGAGTGACTTACCTATGTTGTCATAGGGAATGACGATGGTCCCAGTGTCGACCCACATTTTGGTATAGATAAAGAGGCACAGAGGCATCATTCCCAGGGCGAGCAGTGTGGAACACGTGGTCATGCTGACGCTGTAAGGAAATGAACATGTTCACAGGTCCACTGGGTTTTCTAGGGGCAGGCGGTTTCATTTTTGATTCATGACATGAAAGTTCTGCAAGAAACTGTCTCAGCCGGTGACATCATCCGGTACAATTGGCACAGCACACATGTGCCCAGGTTTCTGCAGAGCCTGGCCTTGGGCACCACCACTCATATCTGGTGTCTCTCCACTCCACCTTCCACTCTCCTTCCCTCCCTATTTATGCTCAAGAAGCACAGGAGTTATTCAAAGATGGCCTAAACTAATGATTGAATAAAGTACAAGGAGCCTGGGTGTGTCACTTTTGAAACTCCAATGAGACAACAGCAAATGCATTCATACTAGTCTGGACTACAGGACCATAGGGGGCTTTTTGCATCTCTGTGCTGGTATGAGCTGGGCCCTCCTGGACCTTGGAGGAGAACACCTGAGTGAAGGGGAGAAGGCCTCATTGCCTCTTGATCAAACACTCAAATTATTGCCCAAATGGCCATGCTGGGGAAGAGAAAACTGACAGTTAAAACAACTACAACAAAAAAATGTGCCTGCAGGCGAAATAGGCCTGGATTCTGAGGACCACGTCATTGCCAATTTACCAAATGTGTGTTCAGAAGAATTGGGGCCTGGAGTTATTCCTTTTTAAGCAAGTCTATTTTTGTAAGGGGGACCGGCTGACTAATTGGATTTTGGCTTTTGACATGCATGGAGGAATCGATATCAAATGGTACTATTTTCAGCACTGTGACAGTGGATGGAAGAGAAATTTTTGGGTAGTGGTTCTTCCTGGTTCCCTTCAAAAGTGCCCAGTGCACATTGTCTGCCCCAGGGCAGAACCACTTACTGTCGGGGCTTTTAGGGGGGTGCTCGATGTCTGGGTGGGAAGAAAGTGGAGCTGTGATACACCCCTTTGAGACTGAAAACCACACGGTGGTTTTTTTCCTTCCCCATTTCCTGGTCACCTGTATTTTCTCTGTCCCAGCTTCCTCATTCTGAGGATGCATGTTTCCTGGCCCAGAGGCGCACCAAGGAGAACAGAATTCTCCCTCTGGCCAGCATAGCATAGCCACATATGTGTGTTTCCTGGCTTTTGTTTCTATAAACTGTAATGTTTTTGTAGAAAGGGGGAAGACCGATTAGCTGTCTTCCCATTTTTGACCAAACTGTGATTCAATCCATTTTCCCTTTCTGTATTGTATTCTCTTATTTTTGGTGTGGGTGGGAGGCTGAATCCAGTTAGTTAGGACCCAACAGCCTCTAGGCCCTGGTAGCAGTGCCATTCACGGAGTGACTTTGGACAGTTGACTTGACTTCTCTTTGCCAGATTCCTTATCTCAAATGCAGATTGTGAGCACTATTACCAACGGTGTCCAGTTCTTAGGACAATGCAAGGCACTCATTGAGAGCCAGTTAGGGTTATCATTTTTAAGTTCATATATTTTGTGTTCCACTACACATAGAATCAGGAAGCTGAGAGCAATTCCTCTGAAAGATATTCCTGGACAGCTGGGGCATTTAGTCCAGGCTTGGCAAGTACTTGACCGCTGAGCCACATCCCAGCCCATGAGAGCAATTTTTTAAATTATTTCTTTTCTTTATTTTTATTGGTACACTGTAATAATACATAATAGTGGGATTTGTTGTTATATATTCATACATGCACACAATATAACAATATAATTTGATCAGCATCATTCAAGAGCTATTTCTTAAAGACTGTGAGGGGGAACAAGACAGGAATTGGAGAAGAAATGGTTTGAATTTAGTGAGCAGTTTTCACAATATGATGTTACAGAGGCATAAGAGAATAGATGGCTGGAAGTTGATCTCTCTAACTAATAAGAAGAACAAAGTCAAGCCCCTCAAAATGACAATGAAACAATTCACAGAGAATTTTAATGCACAAGGTTGGGGAATAAATTAGCGAAAGAAAATTCTTTTTTCATGAGCAATTTGAAGTTCTATAAAGACCATGAGTGTCAAAAATAGAAATACTATCATGAATTTATATTGGAATGAGAGACGATGTTAATGTATAGGAAAATAAAACATCTTTTGACTTTAATTCCTGGCCTTAGTACTATTAACTGAACTTTTATGTGTGTGGGCAAAAAAGAAGTCAAAATGTGAGAATTCAGGGAATAATGAGGAACTCAGCAAAATCACTGGCAAGGAATGCAAAAGATTCTCCTCATATTAGAATCCGAACACCAAGTGGGAGGACCAGGAGAAGAGAACATAGGTGTTGGTAGGAGCTGGAGACACTCCAGAAGATCTCTGCCAAATGCAGGAAAGAAGAGTGCATTTTGAGTACTTAGCACTGTTCATGGAACATAATAGTGTCTAATACATATTATCTAGTGAAATAAAAACAATGCCACATGAGAAAAGCAAAGCTTGGTTGCTTTGAGGGAACATAAAGGAAAGAATCAAATGGTGTAGGGTGAGTTCTCCCAGAGTGGAGAGGACATGGGTCTCTCTGCAGCTGGAGCAGAGGGTCTCCTTTGAATTGTGGTAGGCCAGAGGGTGGGGGAACTTGAGTTGGAAGAGGAAAAGCAGAACAGCATTTGGCCAAAGACAAAAGTCGTGATAGGCAAAGCTATGAAATAAGAGATCTAGAAAATAAGGAGTGTAGCGAGTAGGTGTCTCTGAAGGGCCTGGGGGAGACTGAGGAGAGGATGCAGAAGTCAAAGAAAGGAAAGTCAGGACAAGTCCTGGCCTGGTGTGGCTAAGGCCATTGTGAAAGTTGGAGAGACGGGTGTTTACCTATATCTTATGGCAGAGCAAACACTAAGGAGGTAGCACATCTTTGTGTCCCTCATCTGTGGGTTTTGGCCACCAGCAGATCACTTGCAAGGTCACCTTCATTGCTCCCTGACACATTTTGAGCACATGATGCTGCAGTGTAGCTATAACTTAGGCAGAAATTATCTGTGCACCAAACATTCACAAATGACAGCTTTCCAGGCCAGGCATAATCAGACAAGAGGCTGAAATGTCCCTTGCTGTGCTTCAGTGAGCACAGATAACTGTCTATGTATGTGTGTGTGTGTCTGTCTGTCTGCGTGGCTACCTGTCTATCAGTCGTCTTTTTAGTCGCTACAGATGGTAAAATGCAATGGTTCCCATCTCAGAAGAGATGATAGGAGGGGGAAACATCCTGGTTTTATATCCTAGGAACCACATCTGGGTGGAATTGTTTCGTTAGCACTGTGTGGTGTTCGCTCATTGGCGAAGGTACCTGTAGTGTGACAGTCACGTCTTGGCTGTCATCACTAGAGTGCAGGTGGAAATGGGAGGGAAAGTTCTAAGAGCACCAAACTGGAGATACAAATGTGGGAAGGACTGTTTAAGTACATTATCACGAGGCTTAATGGTTATCTAATGCTCACTCCAGAGGAATAAAACGTTTGGAAGGCTCTTCCCCAACAGTTGAAGTTTTACTTTCTGAATTTGCTTTAAAGAAATATTTGATTTTTCCCTAATGTATGCAATTCATGATGCCGTCTTCTACCTAGTAGCAGAGTTACCATCTTCTCAGTGATGAGAGTCCTCTGTGCTACACCCTATTTATTACTAGCTGTTCTAAAATGTTGAGGTGGCTGCTGGACGGGTGGACTCATCCTGGACAGATGAAGGTGTTATGGGCACTTTGTAACACAAGGGGAATCCATGAAGTGCACAGTTTATGTAATTAAAATTGAAATGTTCAGTGCCATTTACTCCATTCTAGGGCCCATATCAAGCTGAAGAAGGAATCCTATCCATGGATCCATTTGGAGGTCTTCTACAAGATTTCATATTAATTGATTAATCTTTTTTTTGAAAAAAAGTAATATACCGGGATTGTGAAATGAAGTAGACAGGATTACTCAATCACCTCCTGTTCATGAGAATTAACATTTCTTTTAAAAGCAGACCAGTGGCATTGGGAGGTTTTAGATTTGGTTTACATTTAGCTTGCAGAAAAGAGCAGGTTTCAACAGCCCAAACCTCCTGCATGACTTATTTTCCTGTTTTAGGATATCTTTGCATGTGTGGCGTTGCACCGAGGTGCAAACTGTCTTGTTGAGAGGCAAGACCCTATTGCTCAAAAGTTACAACTATGTCAGAGATACTGAGTGGAGGTCAAAGCCCCTGCTCACTCCCTTCAGTGGAGTAGGCGCTAGTTTTTAGAATTCTCATCTCTGTGTGTCTAGGTCAAACCTGATCTAAGTCTAAAAAGACCCATTGCTTCATTTTGTTTCCAGATGAACAAAGCCTGAGCAGCACTTGCCAACCTGTGCTCTTCCACAGGGCTTCCCTTAAAATAAAATAATTAAATTAAAAAAAATCTACGGCAAGGTAGATACTGCATTTCCTTATATGAAAGAGTCACGTAGGGGATGTAGATTGTAAGCCTTTTCTGAAGCTTCGGAGCCGAGATGTGATAGCAAGTTCCCAATTGCTCAGTGGGCACTCCATCCATTCAGTGTTCCATTTCCTCACTGGGAGCTTCTCTCCTCTGCGTGTAGTAGTTGGGGATTATCAGAGCTGACTGCCTGTGGTATAGTATTTAATAAGCACACGCTGCATTAACACCTGGATGGTTTTCAGAAATGCATATCTTTCACAGGAAATGAGGAATGTGAGGTAAGGAAAAAGACATTTATCTATTCAACTTCCCACATTAAAATTCTTGGTCTAGTCCCATTAATGCTTCTTCTTACTTCTATTAGGCTTTCCCCCACTTGGTGCTAGTTCAGACTGGCACATGATGAATTGGACAAACATTATGATTTAGATTACTCTGTGGGAAGCAGAGAAACCATTTTCTGTTTATTGTATAGTAAGCTAAGCATAATTTTTAAAAAGACTTTGGTAGGGTTATTTTTGATTATTTGTGTGTGTGTGTGTGTGTGTGTGTATTCAGTGACAGTTGAAGTAAAGCAAATTTATAGATTCTTCTTTAGGTTTAATACCAAGAATCTGCCCAAAGAGCTGGTGGCTTGGTGGAGCTGACCATCATCTTACCCTAGATCCTAAAATTAAAGAACAGTTTGATTTCATATCTGTACTCAGAGTTCCTTGCCACCACAAAGAAAGTGGCTTTGTCTTTTTCTGATACCAACAGGACAAACTTTCTCAGCTATGGCTTATGGCTTGGGAAAGAGCTTTCTTTTGAGAAACTTTGAATCTTTTTCCAGAGATAATCAGCAATTATGCAACTCCCTGTTAACTGAATTTGATTTAAAAGCACAATCAGATGGAAGTCCCAAATTCTAACAGCCAAGCAGCTGCAGCAGAAGAAATTTACCTGCTCATGTTGAATTCCTTAGTGTGACCTTATAATGGCATTCAGAAGGCCATAGACTTTGAAAAAAGTTAGCCCAGTAAGATTGGAGAAGTTGGAATTGGAGATGTCTTACCTTAGGTCCATGTCACCGTCAACCCAGTAGGCGAGGATATTGGAGGCAGTTCCTCCAGGGCAGCAGCCCATGATGAGCACCACCACGGCCTGCACAGGCAGGATGCCAAAGGCCAACGACAGGAGGAATCCCGTGAGGGGCATAATTCCAAACTGACAGAGGAAGCCAATAAAGATGCCCCATGGCCGCTTCAAGTGGCCCAAGAATTTCCTGACTTCCACATTGCATCCCATGGAGAACATCACCATGGCCAAGAGCACCGTCAGCACGGTGCTCACGATCACACTGAGGATGGCATTGAAGTTGCTCTCAGGCACCACACAGGATGAACCTTCACAAACTGATGCGTTGGCTAAGCAGACCGTCCAATTATTCATCTTTGGGTTTGATGCTCCAATTGTCAGACCACAGAAGCACGGTCCCCTGGTCCTGTCTCTACTGTCAGCCAAGATGAAGCAATGCTCACTTCACATCAAACTTTTAAACCCTTTCTAAACATGTGGCCCTAAGTGTTTCTTTCAAAAGCCACCTTAGAGAAGCAATAAAAAACAATAAATGCTAGTATGTCAGTTTCGAGAGGTGGCATTACAACATAGCACAAATAATGAATCATAAAAGTCGAGCAAAATTACTGGCCCAGACAGAATGTTATAATTAATCATTTATTGGCATGATAATGAACTGTGCCACATAGAAATGACTGTGTTAATGTTTAATGTGTGGAAGGTTTGTTGAATAATTTCAGTTAAGTGACAATTAAAATCTCTGAATATTATAGAACATTGTAGGTGTAGGGGTTGAGGAGTAGGAAAGCATATTGTTCCCTCAGCTCCCTTTAACATAGGGTGGACTGGCTCAGAAAAGTCAAGCACCCTATGCCAAGTTATCTTTTAAATTAATTTCTAGACTGAACCCAAACCAGATTCCCAATTTTCTGCTTACTCCTATTGGAATGTAATTTGTATAAAGTATATGCAAGTTGGAGAAACTTCTAGGGCCTTGGTGCGAACCTATGGGAGAATCACTTTTGGGAAGACAGGGTGTTTTCTGGTGGGAAGGAGTCTGACTGGCAGAGCCACCCTCAATTACCTACACATGTAATTATGCATGTGTTGCCATAGTAACAAAGTGCTTTATAGACAGAGACAATACAATTATTTAGAGGGATGAACCTCAGAGGATTAGGTCAAAGTGACAGTATCTCTTTGTGCTTAAGAGTCAGGAATTGAAAGTAGATTTTTTTTTTTTTTTGTCAGGGAGGGATTCCCAGGGAGATTGATTGTCATAAATGTCAAATAGTCACCCTCATTACGGACAGAACACTGTACTTAGGTATATTAGGGAGATAAAGAGAAAAGGTAGAGGAGAGATTGTCCTGTTCTCTGATGTTTATAACCTAATTATTGAGTCAGGAAACAGCATAGGCACAAAATTGAATATTGAAATCATGATTCACAATTGGGAGGTCAAATTCTAATTTATCGTTCAATTCAATCATCTTCAGTCAAGCACAGTCAGCAGCCCCATTTTCCAGATGAGGAACTGAGGGCTGAGGAAATGAAATGCTTCATGCCAGGTTACCAGCTGCTAATTGGAACTACTGGAACTCAGCTTCCTGGCTCTGGGCAGGAAAGGGTTGGTTTGCTTGGTGGAGATTCGGAGCCAGGTCTAGGATGGGGTGTCTCAGTAGGCACAGGGGTCCCAGGGGCCTGTTAAGATGTAGCTTCTTGTTCTAGAAATCTGCAGGGGGTGGGTATGGGGCTTGTTTTCCAACAAGCTCATGGTTGATGGGGATCTGGGGACGGCATTGTGAGTGTCCAGGCCTTCAGAGCAGCAGGACAGCAGTGGGACCTGTGCACAACAGGTCTGTGGTCACTGAAGGGGCCACCATGAAGAGGGGTAAGCAGAGCCAAGTGTCCTAGCAGCTGGGAGCCTGTGGATGACGTGCCTTTAATTTGAGATGGAACTACTTGGAAAACCTGAGCCACTTCTTTGGAGGGTGGCAGCGATTTACACTCCCCGTTGACACAGCTCCTGTCACACTGGCACTGGTGGGCTGCCATTAGCTCTGCCAAGCCCCACCCCACCCACTTCCAGAATAAGGATCAGTTGGCTGCCCGCCAATTCCTGGGAGCGCCTCCTGTCTCTCCCATCAGCTAAATGATTAGCTAGGTAATTCCCAAAGAGGCCTCTCCTCCCACTTCTGGGTGTGGAATGACTTGGCCCTGCCCTGGTGGCCTCTCTAAGCATCTCCTGGGACTGACCTATGGTTCCTGTCCTTGCAGGTGCTGGCCCTCCAAGGACAAGGTGAGCTGAGTGCTCCTCCTGCTGTTGCACCTTGGCACCTGTTCGTGATAGCTCTCTTCTCCTCTGGGCTGGGTGAAGGAGACTGTGTGCGGTGTTCATGTTTCCTCTCTTCCTGCCTTGATTTCTGTTAACTTCAAACCCTGCTGAAAGTCAGAAAGTAGCCTGGGACCTAAAAGCAAGTAGCCTCTCTACTTCACTATGTCTTATCTGCAAGGAGAAATTTAAGGAAGCATTTAGATTTTGAAATTGCTCTGAAGTTGGAAAGGCCACAGTGCAAGACTGATACAGAGAGTCAAGTCAGACACCCGTCTCTTGAGGTCCGGGATTGACCATGGTGGGACTCCTGGTTTGGGCCCTGTGGGTTACTGGGTCGGCCAACTGCAGTCCATACTTAGCCTTTTTGTCCACATTGCTGGAAGCAGAGGAGAGAAAGTGGAGAGAGCAGAAAGCAGGTTCCGAAGGAAGCTCTCCTCAAATTTCAGATGACTTGCTAAGGAGATTTTAGGCTCCCGAGGGCAGAATGCTTTGCATATAGACAACTTGCAAATGAGCAGTCTGTTTGACTAGACAGAGTGCTACAGTTTGGTTAAAAAAAAAAAGTGCCAATGCATTTCTAATTTTCACATTGTTTTTACATAAATTTGCACATTAGACTCGAGAGGCCTTCTATTCAAGTATTGGAGTGATCCACAATTAATTACTACCCTTAACTTCAGCTACATTCAAATCCAGGCATGGAAAATATCTAAATATATAAAGATTGTTCTCCGTGTCTGTAACCTAGGAAGGAGGGGTAGATGCGCACCTGGGGGCAGCTGGTGGCCTTTCTCACTTGGCTGCTCTGTCTCCCTGCTCTTCTGGACTCACATTCAAGTGTTCTAGAGAAACCAGCAGCAGATTCCTGCCTGGGCCTCCGGGGTGGAGACGCAGAGGGCGGCCGTTTAAAGTGGCTTCCACTACAGTAGGAGAAGCTGGGGTTACAAGCTTGCCAGCGTGTTCGCCCTGCAGTTCACATGACAAAGGACGAGCTTTTCATTTCCAGGTGCATTTTATCAGGGATGGCTCTATTCAGATCAACATTCGTGTGACTGAAATGATCTCCCTCTCTCTTTTCTCCAGTTCCTCCTGACAGATCAATTTTTAAATGGAACTCAAAAGTTCCACATTTAGAGTTATTTGGAGGCTCCACTAACCCTCTTTGAAATAATAAACAGAAAAAATACTCTGGGGAGAATGGGTTATGAACACTGACTAGGAGTTAAAGGAAAAGGCAGCATAAGTCTAGGGAGAGGAAGGGCAGAGAGAAGGACCAGAATTTATCTGAGGAACACCCCTCTGGGTTTGGGTTCACAATTCAATTTCAATTGCTGGGTTCTCTCTGCCCTTCAGAGAACTGGGTCCTTGGTCATCTTCTTTTGAATCTGCTGTGAAACTATTACGACCTTAATGTATGAATGTGAAGCTTTGTTGAAGATACAGAGGATGCTACAACCACTTTGCAACATAATTAAATCTAAATATCCACATGCCCCATGACCCAGTCATTCCAGTCTTAGGTAAAGAAAGACATCTATAAATGAAGTTTTCTGAAGACACGAGCTAGAATGTTCTCGGTAGCTCCATTTATAACAGCTCCGAAATGGAAACTATTCAAGTACCCACCTAGGTAGACTGGCTAAATACACTGTGGTATAGTCACACCCTGGACCCCCATGTATCAATTAGGTGAATGATCTGTTACCACAAATCTAATGCTGAGTGAGAGAAGTTAGTCACAAAGAGCATACACCAGTACGTCAAGCTCGTCTATGGTGTTTGAAGTCAGGACAGTCATTTTCTTGTATGGAACAGTAGAGACTGAACGGAGTCACAGTGAGCCATGCTTCAATGCAGAGTCAAAACAAGAAAAAACCGTCCATAAGAACCTACCAGGGAAAGTGACCTGTCCTGGTCTAGAGAAGGCAAGAGGTGGCTCTGGACTTGAGCCGTCCTGAGAGAACAAGGCAGGGTATGGAAGAGGATGGTGTCTGCAAGGGGTAAAGCATCATTACAATCGTTAAACTCCATGAGAAACCTTCCAGGGAAAGCAGCCTTTGTGTGCTTTCTGGTTCATCTGTGACAGGTGATCTTAAAAGAGAAAACTAGGTCACGTGCTGTGCTAATGCTATCTTAACGGTCTTGGGTTATGTTTGGAAGCTGATGGATACTACTTTCTGGAAAGAGGTGACCTAGCTGGTGGTAGAGTGCATGATTGCTCTTAGTTTATTGCTTCTTGCTTCCCTGCGATGGGTTCCTCCTGCCACACCCGTTGAGTTGGACTCTGCAGAGCTTTCCGGCTGAAGGCGCAGAGCTGGTTGTTAAGTGTGGATGTCAAACCAGGGAAATTGCATGATGACATGGAGGTGGGAATTCCACCCTCAAGCAGAAGGTCTCAGAGCCATTGTGTGAATCACTTTTCCCCCACTGTTTCCCATTCCCACGGGAATGGCAAATTCTGGCTCAAAGCGTCTCCCTTATCTGTTTCTGGAATGAGAAGACAGGGGAGCAGACACAGAGCTGCCCAGAGCCCATAGGAGTTTGTGTCACAAGCCATTTGGGGGCTTTTGTTATTAATATGTTCTAGGAAAAGCTGGCTGTTGCTTATCTATTGTGATTTTCAGGCTGATCATCTAAGTATTTCCTGTGAATTTATAAAAATCACTTCTGTAATGGATGATTGTGTCCCCATAAGTTTCATTTATTGAAACTCTTACTTCTAGGACCTCAGACTGTAACTGTATTTGGAGTTGGGGACATTAAAGAGGCACTGAAGTCAAAAGGAAGCCCTTAGGGTGGTGCCCCTATATGAAGGGGGAACCTGGACCTGCCGAGAGCCACCAGGGAGACCTGCACACTCACAGGAAGGCCATGTGAGGGCAGGGGAAGGTACCGTGTGAAGCCAAGGAGGTGGCTTCTGAAGAAACCAACTGGATGGCGTTTTGGTGTGGGATCATTCTGTCACAGGGTTGGGAGCAAACACTACTTCACTCAAATCACAGTGTCTTGCTTTCCCATGGCCAGTGAGCTGAGAGACTGTGCA